CTGCACTCCATATTGTTTCATTCAAAAGCATTGTGGAAAACTCAGAGGTGGCCTCCTCTTGCTATGGAACAAGCAGAACTCAATTAGCCAGTGCTTTTATGTGGCTGCTAACAACAGCATTCAGGCAAGTAAATTTTTCAGTGTTCTGTTTCGTATTGAGTTGAGATTTATGTTGAGTGATTTAAGTTCAGTTTTAAAGAAGCAAGGGAAAGCTTCAAATTTGGTATTCATTTTTATATGGAGTGCATAACTCAGTGGCTGCTTTCCAGAGTGACTTCAAATGGCTTTCCATCAAAATGGATGTTGTATGTAAAATTTTGCTTCCATTCAGCCTAAATCTGTAAGCTCGGATCTTGGGATCTTTATGCACTTTCCATTATGTGACTGTAAATGGAGGTAGTGTGGCTGATCACCTGATGTTAAGTTGCTCTACAGAGTAACCAATGATAATTCTAATTTCAAAATAGCCTAAAGGTGACTATACTTTGGGCTCATCTAGACTAAAATTTCAACAGTGACCATAAATGGATACCCAAGAGAGAAAGGACTGAAGTCAAGTATGTGTGATACTAATTAACTTGTGGAGATAACATGCTATATTGGTGCAATGCTATTCAGTTTGTTTTGGATAGTCTGGGATCTGAGTCTCATCATACTGCACATAGGTTTTAACTATTACTTCTGTTTTTTCTGAATCAGAAACTTATCTGTGCAATGTATTTCATGACTATTTACTGCTTGAACTTGTGCATGTATGTGAAACATCAAAACAGGTGAGCAATGCTGAATTTAGGTAGAAAATAAGGTATGTTTCCAGGCATGCTATTTCATGACACATCTTGCTCTGCAGGGATTCTGTGTCTGGTAGGCAGTGTGTTGCTAGCTGGCTGCTGTATCTGAATGGAGCAGCCACTACTGCACTGTCACCAGCTGCAAAGCCAGCTCATCACTGTTCAAAGGAACAGCCAACCACTTTGGAACATGGTAGGGGTCTCATTTCCGGGAACGCAGGTGGTGTGTTTGTGTGTGATGGGATGGCAGTGTATGTTAGCTGGTTAAAATTCTGACATCAGCTACCATGCAGTTGCTATCCTTTTCCACATACCTTGATCATTGCAATGGAGAGCTACTACATCTGCATTAGGAATCCTTTGGGTTCACACCTGATTTTTTGACTGTCAAGACTTATTTTGGTATTATAGTGGTATCTTGTATTTCTGTTATCCACTATCATCCAAAGAATTGTGAGAATTTCTAGTTGATTTAGCCTCTGATTTTCATCTGCTTTTAGCTACCAAGGTAACAGAAGTTTGCAAGTCCCTGAAACAGATAAATAATTCAAACATTTGAAAAAATTTTAAGCTATAGAAATTTTCTTAAAGCAAAAGAAGAACAGTTAAAAAGTCACAAGAGTTTTAAAGTTTGGTTTACTGAGTAAATAGATCCTGGAAAGGCTTAAAATAACTGCCTGAATACTATATCTGAAAAATAATTACCTTTTCATTCTATATTAAAGAAAAAAAAAGACAAGTCACCTTTTAGAGCTTTTCTTCTCCTCTTGCTTCTCAGAATAACTTAATTTGTGAACAGCAATACATTTGTAAACAGACATGCACACAGTCTCACCAACTAGGAGACACAATCTGAATAGGACATAATATTATAACTTGGAAGGATAAAGGCTATAAATACACTGATCCTTTGACTGATGTTACTGCAAGCTTCTGTCATACTGCCACAGGTAACTGAGTGTTACTTCTATCCCTATCCTGGCACTTCAGGCACTTTGAAGAATGAAAAAGAAACTTGTTATTACTTGCTGTATCTGGGTGCTGCCATATGTGCCTTGCAAAGTGCAGGTGCCATAGAAGAGAAACAGCATCACTGTTTGTGATGGTCCAAAGAACTGGGGTGATCCTGCTGCTGTGTGTGGTGATTAGGCAGTGTACTTAGTAGCTGTTCTACATACACCAGCAACTGACTACACTGCCACATTACCACATCACCGTTGAGACAAAAATGTTATCAGAAATACTGTTACAGTAAATACACCGGTTTGAGAAATATATCATCTGATCCTTAAAGGTGGTATCGGGCCCAGTGCCTGCCTAATTCCCCTGACTGAAAGGAGGTCTTCTAGGTTATACAACTGAGCGAATAAGGGTAAAAAAGTAACTGTAACTGTATTTGATGTACCTGTACAGCTAGTCCAACTGGCTTCTGAAGAAGTTAATAAATTATGTAAGTATTAAGTAAGAGTTTCAGGTTTGGCCAGTTTAATCTTAAATTGGTGAGATTATTTAAGAAGCTAATAAACAGGTTTTAATCTGTTTATAGTGTTTGTAGTTTAGTATTTTTTATAAGATACATCATACATGAATTGTAAATGGATATTTATAAAAACATGTATTTGTATTACTTTGTTGACTTTATAGATAAATGTGTGCTTGTATAATGGTGTTCTATCTTTCATTTTATTTATTCACCTTTCCAAGTCTGTGTAGATTTGGCTGGCAAAGATGCCTGCTTTATTTTTACCCTTTTTAACTGTTAAGTTCATTTTAAGGAAGAAGTGACAAGTTTATCAGTGATCTGCCCTAAATATTACATTGGAAAAGCTGGTATGTCTCATGAAGAATAAGTAATACAAACGTACTGAGCTTACAGTTTGAAAAACTGAAAAACTTAAACTCTGTGTAGATTCAGGACTGAATGGTATCTATATTCAAATTTCTACAGAAGATGGTTGTTGTGGATTTTGATCAAACAGTAAAATAAGACATTTAGTGACTGTTTCCTCAGGCAAAACCTTCCTTTTCTAGAAATCCAATGTAAAAGTAATTCAGGAAGCAGGGAGTTATATAATCATGTCCACTTTTGCTAATATCCCATGCTATTTCTGAATACCAGGAAAGATATTTGATCTCAGTGCTGGCACTAAGTTGTTTGACATTACAGCATGCCCTGTGAAAAACAGAATGTGAGCCTCAATGAGTGAATTGCAAGCAAGGTGTGCACACTCCCTTCCCTCCTGTTCCCTTCCAAATGAGAAAATGATACTGCACAGTTTATCTCTCAATAGGGTATTTCAAGAACTTGTGTGAAATTTCCTGTATGTTGAGTAATACGCTCAGGCAATAGCAGGTCTAAAATATATTATTTTTCAGGTGTTCCACTAACAGCACCCAACATTTCTTTACAACTACCCTTTTTTATTCAGTGATACAAAAAAAACAGGGAGATATAGTAGTGCACATGAATGGATGTGCATGTTTTAGTCACATACATTTTTTCCAGTTAAGATACCATCCACCACTTACGGGAACAACATGGTGTCCTGTCACTTACTTCTATGGGATATAGACTGCTGCCAGTGAGAGGAGAGAATCCACATCTCTGTTTCCTTCCTACTCCATCAAAGCACCAGAGACATATGACAAAAAACACCTGACACCTTCCACTACATGTTCCCAAGGCTGGAACTGTATATGCACAAGAAAACTGGAGTGAAACACAGAACCTCAGTGTAAAAGCAGGAGCTGTGTTGACTGACTGGGTGTAGAAACCTGTGAGCAAACAGAGGTTGGTCTAAACCACCAGCAATAGACACAGTTGGACTAACTAGACCCTTATGTAGGCCCCTGCTGATCTCTGAAAGTTAAGAGTGGATAAAATTGTCATGCATAAGGTTTGACCTTCCTTCCAAAATGGTGCTTATCTTACTGAGGGTGACTGTTTGATCCTCCACATCAGTATCATTACTTGTTCTTTTTAAATTGCTTATGTTCTTATCCTTCAGAAGCTTCCTGTGAAATTCTCCATGAATTTCACAGACGAGCTGTTGGAACGAGTCCAGAGGAGGCCACGAGAATGATCAGGGGACTGGAGCACCTCCCATATGAAGACAGGCAGAGAAAGCTGGGGCTGTTCAGCCTGGAGAAGAGAAGCTGTGTGGAGACCTCATAGCAGCCTTCCAGTATCTGAAGGGGGCCTATAGGGATGCTGGGGAGGGAGTCTTCATTAGGGACTGTAGTGACAGGACAAGGGGTAATGGGTTCAAACTTAAACAGGGGAAGTTTAGATTAGGATATAAGGAGGAAATTCTTTCCTGTTAGGGTGGTGAGGCACTGGAATGGGTTGCCCAGGGAGGTTGTGAATGCTCCATCCCTGGCAGTGTTAAAGGCCAGGTTTGACGAGGCCTTGGGTGATATGGTTTAGTGTGAGGTGTCCCTGCCCATGGCAGGGGGTTGGATCTTGATGATCTTTAGGTCCTTTCCAACCCTAACTGTTCTATGATTCTATGAATGAGAAAATACCCTTTTTTAAACAGCTTCTGAATTTCTCACCTTCTTAATTCAGTTATGTGGCTATCTTTATTGGAAAATGTTTTGAAGCACTTTAGGTATTTTCAGTCACTTAGATTTGTAAGAGAACAGTGTTAATGCTTCCAGTCCTTTTTCATGTAGAAAACCCCTCTGAGATGCAGTTTCTTTCATTTATATTCTCTCAGGCTTCCTTTAAGACCTGGACAGCTTTCCTTATTTCAATTTTCTGTCTATATTCATCAAAAGATAACTCAAAGCACTTGGCAGTTTGAAATAGAACAGTGGAACAGAGCTGGAAATGGGTTTGCAGTTACATGTAGGATTGGGGAGACTGCAAGTTGAGAAGAGTGGGGCTTAAGGCATGAACTTGCAGTCCCTTGTTCTACCTTTACTTAAGGACTGGCTCATTCCAAAGATGCAAGGTAGAAGAATGTCTGACTGCCAGGCTGTTGATGTCTGTTGCCCCTTGAATCTTCCTGTGAGCATCTAGGTGTATGTATTCATACAGGCCCTGCTTTCATCCAGGTCAGGAGGCTGGGGACCCAGCTCATAGCTGAGCTGCTCTACTGCAGTGCAAATGTATGCAGAAGGCTAAAGAGGTTAAAGGTGCTGCTGTAAAGGTGAAATGTAAAATTAATCAAAATACAAAGCAGGCAATGAAATATTTTTGCAATTTTTCCTTTTTCTTTTCATAATTTTATTTTCTATGTACAGTTTTTTGCAACTAAGTTGACAGCTTTACAATTCACTCATCTGCCCTGAGAAGATAGTGCAAAGCTAGGATCTTCAGTTGCATTTGTTTCTAAAAACCCTGCTGTGATGCATCTGTCCCCATGTGTTTCAGTCAGGGCATTTATGTGCTAATGGAGTATCAAAATCTGTTTGTTCCTGGTAGATGAAACAAAACTCTTCTGTGCAAATACTGAGTAATTTATCAACAACTCCTCTTCTTTTTAGCTATCCCCCTGCTCTTGATGACTTTAATTGCTACTGTCAGTAATGTAAAGAAACATTCAAAAGTTTATGCAATTTCAAGGTCCATCTCTGCAAGGTACTGAGTGTCTTGCTATTCTCAGTAGCCTCCCATGGTTCTCAAGGACGTTACAAGAACCAGTCCAACATTAATAGACATAGTATAGCTGAAAATACTAACATCAAAGCGAAGTAAAATCACCTGATGGTTTAGAATCTAGCAGCATTTTCCAGGAATGTAGTAAGGCTGTGTACCCATGTTGTTGAATGGATTTACCGCATAAATGGCTTTTTCATAGGTCTTCTCTTTTTTTCACGATAATCTGTCTAATTAATGATGCTACTTCTGGCTTGATATTTTGTATAGGCTCTTCAGGTCTCCAGAATTTCACAACTTTACCTTCAGGGCTGACAAGGTATTTCCAGAAATTCCATCGAGGCTCTTTCTTTGAGGAATCTGTAAGAATGGCATCAGATCATTTTAGTGACTTACACTTGTTTCATTGCTCTCAGTGATTCTAAAACTATGTTGAAGTAATCCCACCTTGTTCTCTGCTAGTAGTCTGGGCATGGGTTTAGCGATTGGTGTTAATGATCTGAAAAGTGGGAAGTGAATTATACTTTCCCCTCATTGTGAAATTGATAAAGAAGTCCTACTTCTACTATGCTCTGTTTCCTAGGGAGGATCATATGAGGTCTGAATACTCATTTCAGGAATAACCAGTTCTATGCTGGTTTAGGGAAAATTAAATGGGAGCAGGAAGTCACTCTGGTGATGGCTTGACTCCTTAAATCCCAAAACTTTACCAGTATCTTTGCTAGGATGAATACCAAGCAAGACAATTTCTGAGATTAAGGGGCCACCCATAAACTACGTGGCTCCTAAAAGAGGCTTTGTCTTTGGAGGGTCTTACAGGTTTGGAGGGAAATCTCTCTGAGAGAAAAACTAGGAGAAAACTCCAGGAGATTTTAACTGGGGAATGTGTCCAGTGGGTAATAATACTGAATCCTACACTGATTCTTGGAATCAATGGGTTGAATTTTCCCATTGTACTACATTTGTAATATTATGACTGTAAGGGAACATCATGGCAAGCAAATGGGTATAGTAAAGCTCATATCTTGGAGACTTTGGCCCAGCTAGTCATTATATTTTTACTGAGTTGTTGTATCGGTTTGAAGCAACCCAGTCTCTGTATACTCTTAATTGTTCATCAATTCATATGAATATACAAAGTACAGACATGTAGGAAGCTGGACATTATTTGAGGAAAGGTGAGGCCACAAACTTTACCCAACAAAATGCCTTACTGCTATGACAGAAACAAGAAGCAGTTGTGTAAAAGCCCTGGGGTTTATGCTGCCAGGGGATTCTTTTTGCACTGCACTATCTGACAGTGCTGAACAAACAGTAGCTAGCAGTCAAGATGCTAAGTCTTAGGCTCACAGAATGGTTTGGGTTGGAAAGGACACTAAAAGTCACCTATTTCCACCCCGCTGCCATGGGCAGGGAAAGCAGAACCCGTCCCTCGGTGGGCTTGAACCACCAGCCTTTTGGTTAACCGCTGAATGCACTGACCCATTGTGCCACAGAGACTCCCTTCTGACTGTCAAGATGGCTACATGAAGAAAACAGGTGCTTCTTTAACTGAAGATGAACAATAATTTAATGTGAAGCAGAGAAATGCAGGAAAAGACAGGCCTTATTTCAAAATATTTAAGTACCAGAGGATCTTCCTCTTCGTGGGTGAACAGCATGTTAAGCAAGAACCGAGTGCATACGGCTCTTTCTAAGTGTTAATGTCTGATACTGGTTGGTAGTTGGAATCCAGATTCATCCCACACAGCTGGTACCTATGTGCTTTAGTCTCCTCTATAATGAACTGAAAGGCACCTCCAGTGTGCATTCAGTAATTCCGCTGGACATCAGGCTATTCAAGAGCAACAAGACCTCACCTGAGGTCTTTGGTGACATGCCTAAGGGGAGGCAGGAAGAAACACAGTTACAGTGACAATGGTGACCACTTAAATGACTCCTGAATGATATTTTTCAAGTACATGACAGGTTCGCAAGAAGCAACAGACTTAAGCAGTGTAAGAAAGATTTCGTTTAGATGGTTGAATGATTTTCTGACAAGAGGAGCTGTGAACACCTGTAATAGACTGGGAGGTTTTAGCATCTCTCATCTGACTACTGTAATAGTCTGGAAAAGCAGCTGTAGTACCAAATCGAGTAACTGTGATCCTGTCTTGGGGCTAGGAGATGGAATACGGACTTGAGCCTTCTACCTTATTTTCTCTTTAAAATGAGGTGATAGAGAAGGATTATGTTCTCATTATCCTTTATTTCATATGTCAGTATTTAGTATGGTTCAAAGACCTGGCCAAAGCTTAGGAGAATTCACAGAGGATTTTCAAGTTGACTTTGAGACTATGAGCTGTTTGGTCAACTGAAGAGAGTTTCATTTTGCTTGAGAATATGACGCTCTGAGTCACTAAAGTTACTGTAACAGGATTACCTGTGCAAGTGAGTTTTTTGGGTCCTGAAATTCGCAAGACAAGTTAATGCAAATCAGTGATTATATATAACTAAGGTATATATGCTTTACAATACAGTTTACATAAAGGTAGACATACTACTCTGCTAAAAAAGGATTTTTTTTTAATGTGGATGCGCTTATGAAAAATCTTTCTGTAATTTTATGACCCACATAATTAGATTTTTCTCCATAAAGAAGTTGCTTTATAACAGAAGTTATACAATTTGAAATGGGATTTTGTAGATGGGACTCTTTGCTCTCAAGTATATACATCTGCAAAATGTATGTTTCTAGCTGGGCTGGACACACTAATTTGTTTTTATAACCAGTCAGGAGAAACGGATGCTTTCAGGGTACAACGTGTCTGACCTTATTTTTGATACCCACATTGAAACTAGATGAACTGTATGGTGAGTGCCTGTTTCTCTCCACTGACTATGAGGCCTCTGACGTTTCCCAACAAACAAACTCAGACTACAATTTTGGGAGAATACCATGGTTAGAGGACGCTTGATATATAATAAAAAAAAAAAACCAGTTACCTATTAGAAATCTAAAGGCGGGCTCTGCTTCTGATCCTAGGATCTTGATTTTGTGGAAAATGGGGAAAGTTACTCCGTAGTTTCCTTTGGCAAAAGACTCTATTTCCTGGCTTGAACTAGGCTCTGATTCTCCGAACTGGTTGCAGGGAAAAGCCAGCACAGTGAAGTGGGAGGGGCCAAACTCTCTCTGTAGCTCTTGCAGTGCGATGTAATTTTTGTCTGTGTGCTGGCAGTAACTGGCCACGTTTACAACCAAAGCTGCCTTCAGAGAAATAAAGTTATAAGAGTAAGAAAAAACCCTAGAGATTGTGTAGAGATACAATTAAGTTTTAAAACGGCATCTCCCACTAACAAAATGGTTCCTGCCAGAAAGCTGTATCAGTATGTCTGATCGTAATTCCAGTAAACTGGTAAGGATGATAGATTAAAAAAGAAACAAAACCAATAAAAACTTCAACCTACAGCTTTGTTTTAATTTAAGCATGTAAAAAAGCAGATATTTAAGACAGGCACTAGAATCATATTTACTAGATCAATTTTCAGAATTTGATATAACATGCTACTATTCTTAACCAAGATTAAAACGCACAAATTGTATTGTTAGGCTATACTGAGTTGTAATAAAGAATACGTCACTCCACTCCCCCATTTTTCTTGATTTATTACATCTAATGCTTAATTCCTGGAGCAGGCCTAAACAAAAAAAAAAAAAAAAAAAAAAAAAAAAAATTCTTACCAGGTAACTGAAGAGCAGAATTTAGCACGAATCTTTGCTGACAATTCCCATGACCAAACTTTTGTTTACCTACAAGTTGATACCCGTTTTCAGTAAAGATTCAAGAAGAAGATGTAATAAAATCGTAACTTACTTTCCCTCTGTACTTCTCCAAGGAAATTATCCTTCCTCGTGAATCCTTGACTTCGAAAGAATAAAAATCCTTGGTTTTAGGGTTAAAAAATCTGAATTGCAGCAGGCAGAGAATGGCGGTACACAAAACCATTGACAGAAAGACAACAAAGACTCTGGCTTTGGGCACTGAGTATTTCAGAGGATGAGTAGTTGTGAGAGGCTCCATTTTCGGAATCTTTGGAGAGGAGCCTGGGCAGGCCTGGAATGTGAAGGAGGAGCTGAAACATAAAACTCGCAGCTCTGATTGGGAAGAGGAAGCTGCTAGTGTTGCAGCAGCAGCTGGTTCATATCACGGTGCCTTTGCTGGGCTTCAGAGCTCCTGGGGGAAGAACAGAAATCTCACTGGGGATAAAAATAAAATCCAAAGCCAAAATGAAAGATAAGTGTATTCCTATCACCTAAGGATGCTGAGTGCTCTGTTTAACTGATCTGTGTGGGAAACTGATGTTGGTCTGCCACACACTGTCTTGAGAGTTGCTGGTGCCTCGGTTTGTAGTTCAGCTCCAGTGCAACCCCTGTGCCCCTTGGGTGTCCCTGACAGAGCGGTTCAGCAGCTATCAGAGAGACCTGGACAAGGAGCTTGGGGACCACCTGTTTGTAAAGCTTTTCTACAGCACACCAAGCAAAGAAACCCTTTCTGATGTGCTGGCATAAGAGAAGATAGTAAAATGTTTTTTGTTTGTTTGGTTTTGAATGGAGGGTGTGTGTGTGGCTGATGATGGAAGACAGGTTGCTTTTCTTATTGCTTCTGGATAAGTGGCAACTACCTGTGCTGAGATGAAAAGATTGAAGGTCTGCACTAGAGAAGCATAAGTTAGCTGAGAATTTCAAGTATAAGCTAGACAGCTCCAGTGGTGTTCTGCTGATGCAATTGTGAAAGACACTCTGAACTTCAGAGCCACACAAGTCTGGTGTTTTATCTGTCTTCATTTATTGTTGTACATGTTAAAGATGTTTGCCTGTTGACCTTAGTTTCTGAAGGCAGATCAACATGTAGTGGTTACAACAAACAAGTTATGGGAAAAAAAATACTCTGTCTTCATGTCTTCCCTTACTCAGTTCTTCCCTTTTTCTTTCTGTTCATTTGCTATTTCCTTTCTTCCACTCAGTTTCCAAGATTTTGTTTTGTCTTCCTCACATGTTGACTTGAAAAGCAAGTTTGAATGTGTTTAATTTCAGAAAACCCATGCAAGATTCTGGTGTCTGTCTCAACAGCTTGTAATCGGTGTCTAATATTATTTCAGTGATTAAAAAGGACTTTATATTATAATATTACAATATAACATATAGAATATAATGATATAAAATATATTATATAGCTATATAATATAAATATTATAATTACATTATAATATAAATATTATAAATATTTATTGGAGTACCTAATAATGATCCAGAAGCCTATTATGCTTCCTGTGCTTCCTTACTGTAGTTATTTTCATCTAAAACTAAAACCCCAAAATACTATGTTCAATATTACCTAGGTTCTTAAATTTCAAATTTTGATATATTCTTATGTTTTATATTTCTCTGACACAAATTGCTCTATGAATAAATTTGAAAGTAAGAAGGGAGGGACTCCAGAGGGACCTGGACGTGGTTGAAAAGTGGGCCCATGCAAACCTCATGTAGTTCAACTGAGCCAAGTGCAAGGTACTACACACAAATCGGGATAATCCGCAGCTACAGGCTGGATGGAGAAGGGATTCAGAGCAGCCCTGTGGAGAAGGACTTGGGGGTGTTGGTCAACGAGAAACTGAACAGGAGCTGGCTTCAGTGTGTGCTCGCAGCCTCAGAAGCCAATTGTATCCTGGGCTGCATCAAAAGGAGCGTGACCAGCAGGTCGAAGGAGGTGATCCTGCCCCTCTACTCTGCTCTCGTGAGACCTCACCTGGAGTATTGTGTGCAGTTCTGGTGTCCTCAACATAAAAAGGACATGGAACTGCTGGAACAAGTCCAGGAGGGCTGCGAGGATGATCAGGGGACTGGAGCACCTCCTGTATGAAGATAGGCTGAGAAAGTTTGGGCTGTTCAGCCTGGAGAAGAGAAGGCTGCATGGAGTCCTCATAGCAGCCTTCCAGTATCTGAAGGGGGCCTATAGGGATGCTGGGGATGGACTATTCATTAGGGACTGTAGTGATAGGACAAGGGGTAATGGGTTCAAACCTAAACAGGAAAGTTCAGCTTAAGTATGAGGAAGAAGTTCTTCCCTGTGAGGGTGCTGAGGCACTGGCACAGGTTTCCCAGAGAAGCTGTGGCTGCCCCATCCCTGGCTGTGTTCAAGGCTTTGAGCAACCTGCTCTAGTGTGTGATGTCCCTGCCTCCCCAGCAGGGGGGTAGAACTAGATGATTTTAAGGTCCTTTCCAACCCTAATCTTTCTATGAGTTTATGGTGGTTAAATCTGTCATTTAATACTTATTTAGTATGCCTTAATGTATTAAAAAGTATCAGATAACATTAAAAATAGTAACATGAACAAGTCGCAGTGGAGATAAGATTCAGAAATCAGGAGAGATTGAAGTCCTCCTTTGGGTGAGTATCAGAAAACCAGCCTGGTTCCAGCCAGCCAACATGTGGGTTTGCCCAAATGGCCGTTCCTCAGCAAAGACCAGGTCCATGAGCCTATGCTGAATGTCTCAAGATGCCTGGGGTCTGTCACAGACCAGTGCTGTAGCCTGCTGCATAAGTAACACAAATTCAGTCATTGCTTTTTTTCTCTGCCACAGGTTTTCTGTGTTCAGGTTGATTCAGGGGTACTTATTAATCCAGAAACATGTATTTCTGGTTTTCTCCATCTAGGTGACGGACTGCCAGCATCCATTTCCATGGCTTGGGCTCTGTGGTGACCAGAGCCCACGTGCCACGGTAAAGGAAAACCTGACACTGAGTGGAACGATACTAAGTCATGACTAATTTCTGTGTTTCGTCTCCTTCCGCTTGTGCAGGACCCAGTGGCCAAAGGGACCACGTACTCCGCGTTTAAGAACGCCATGAGGAGAAAACTGGCGGCCCGGGCTTCCGCTGCCAGCAGCCCCCTTGTCACAAGATGGCAGCAGCGGCACGCTGGAGGCGCTGCCGGGGCCCGCGGCTCGAACCGGCTCATCAGCGCCACCGCGGCCACGGCAGGTCAGACCGGGCTCGACAGAGCCTTCCCATAGGCGGTATCCTCGTGGAGGGACTTAGCAGATAACCCGGAGTGGGGCATTGGCGTGAGCCGTGCGGTGGTGTGTTCCACGTGTCTCGCTGTCGGGCTCTGGCCATGGCAGCTTGCATGTGCTGGGCAGCAGCCTGTGCCGGCCTTCACAGGCAGAGCTAACACAGGGATAGGAGTGCACTGCTGTCGTGACAGGAAAGCTGGGCCCAGTGTTTCTGTGACCAGTGCACAGCCAGCATGGGACAGTAGGTCATATGGGCAGCTGCTATCAAGAAGGTTGAAAGCAATGAAAGAAAAGGAAGTCTTATCCCTAGCCAAGCAATGCCTGTTCCAGACCAGACTTTTTTTCCTCTAGGATGGGGCTGTATTAGGCTTGGTTTAAGTTGCACTGGGCTGTAACTGCACAGGGCTTGTTGCACCTTCATACCTGGAATGGTTAACAGTAAGTGACAGGAGAGCAGCAGAATTCATTTGTCCTTTGTCCTTCCCTTCCTTCTGCTTCTCCTTTGCCTTATACACAGCTACCACAGACTCAGCCAAAACTGCAGGACTGGAATCAGTGTCCGTGCCTGGTGTGGTGTAGTGTAGACTTTCTTACAGAGAAGCTTACTCTTGTTACTGTCTCTTCTTCAAAGTGTAAAGCTTCAGCTACTGACAAAGGGACAGTAACCAAGCGATGCTCACACTCAGCTCACCTCATGGAGAGACTTAATCTGAGGGCTGTTCAGAGCACAGGTCAAACTTTCAGTACTCTCACTTGGAGATGTGGCAGAAGGGGAGGCTGCTTCTGTTAACAGAGGGAGCTGACAAAAAGTTAAATGAGCCTTTGAAATCACTGACTCCTACTTTCAAGCAGTGCTTAGGGAAAGTGGGGAAGGGTTTAAATGCTGCATGTATGAGAAGAGCTTCCAGAAAGGTCTAGTAAACTAAAGATGGCTTATTTCTTGATTGATAATTAAAATCTTTAGACAGCAAATAAAAGATGCTGTTCAGTGTTCAGAATGTATGCCTGCGAGGCCATGGGTGTTGGTCAGAAAGTGCAATTCTATCTTCTGCTAAGCAGAATACTAAAGCTGTTCAATAATACATGCCTAACTCTATGAAACTCAGGTTGTAAAATAAGTATTCCCAACTTCAGTTTCTAGAACAAGAAGTCCTGCATGCTGTCTGTACAAGCAGTGGTGAAAGCCTATATGGCTATGGGAAACTGGATATTGATTTCCTGTGGGGTAGGATCCTGTGTAACCAGTCAATAAATCTAAGACTGGATGTGAGTTGCAGTAGTAAACAAACCTTTTCTATGAAAGGAATGACCATTCTGACCTTTTTTAGACAATTCTTTTAGGATAAAATTAATAGTGCTGTAGAAATGTCTCTTTAACTTCACTGACAAAAAGAAAGGGTAACTGGTTCAATTGTCAGTATTTGCATTTTCCCACTTAGTGTATCAGATCTGCATTTGGAGTACTAGTACTACAAAATCAGTGTTATCCTGAAAAGTACTTGACAAATATCCCTGTATATGGTTTTAAAAGGAATTGTTACCATTAAAATTGTTTTTTTCCAGTGACATCTCAGGTGCCTAAGGAACTCTCCAGCATAAAAACTGTTGTGACTCTAGCTAGCCAACAAGCTGCAGCAGGCTTGGAAGGGAGGAATATTGGGAGAGCTGGCATGGAAAAGAAACAGGTGAGTAATGCAACACTGAAACGCGCAGGTAGGGTATTTGCTTTCCTGATTTTTTTTCAACCTTATTGTAGGCCTGGAATCTGTTATGTGGGTACTATCTTACTGACATGGAGAACAGTAACATTAGGAGGTCCATTTAGGAAATGTTTCCTAGATGAATGTCAGGAGCAATTCCTTCATTATTTGTTTGATTCAGCTTCTCTTCCCTTCCTCCAGGTTATTGTCCTGTAAATTAAAATCAGAACTAAGCTAATGAACCCCTCAAGATTCATTTGTTGTCTCCGGGGGAAAATGTGTATTGTAAAAAGTATGTATGAAAGGCATGAATGACTCAGTTTTCCACTTGCCTTAATAACCACTATGTGTGAAGAAGATAATTTCTTCAATTTTGCAGTATGTAGCTGTTCATTTTGTTATGAAGACAGAATGAAGTGCTATGAAAAGTTCACAAAAACGTAGTTTTTGATTTTATTTTTCAAAAGAATTTTTTGTCATTACAATAGAAGGTCAGCATCTTGGCCAAGGATAAAAGAACACATGGAATCTGCCTAACATGTGAAACAAGCTTCAGGTCATTTCTCATGTAGGTGTTATTTTCTGCAGCTGTACACTTTATCCCTTCAGTTTCCCTAGTAGACACTCATAGCATTTTCTTTAGATATTATCTGTTGCTTTTTGGTCATCTTAAATAAACTATGTTCCAGCCACTCTCCTCTTTCTGTTCACTTACTGAAAATTTTCTGTTCATGTGTAGCATGGTGATACTTGTCTGTATTAGTAAAAGTTGATACCATAACATTACACTCTAAACCACTTCTTTATTTTAGTGTTAATTGTTGCTGTTAACATATTAAGTTGCATCTTCTTGTGCTTGCCTTTCCTTGACTGTACCAGTTGCAAGGTCACTACTTAGAATTGCTGATAGCTGTTTTCAGCTCCTTCCAACAACGCTTTCTTCTTTCCTGTCCCCCTTCATGGTCTATGAATTTCAGAATTGTTTAATTAAAGAACTAAATGGGTTTAGTAATCTTAGTTGAATCTATCCGACAGAGAAAGTTAATAAATTTTTTTTTTTTGGTGAGATAAGAACTTACTATAAAGCAATGTATGGAAACCATTCTTCCTTAAAATGTAATGTCTTCTGAAAGATGAGTACATGTCATTGTCCTCGCTCTTAGTCATAAAGTCATAAAATGTTTTAGATTGGAAGGGACCTTAAAAAGTTATGTAAACCACCCCCCCTACAATAAGAAGGGACCTCTCCAACTAGATTCCTCAGAGTCTCTTCTTTCCCAGGATGGGGCATTTACAGCCTCTCTGGGAAACTTATTCCATTGTTTCACCACAATTTTTTAATCCCCAAAAATGCCTTCCTTACATCTACATTGAATCTACCCTCTTTCCTTGTCCTGTTTGCTCAGGCCTTACTAAAAATCTGTCCTCACCTTTCTTACAAGCCCCCTTCAAGTATAGAAAGGCCACAGTAAAATCTCCCCAGAGCCTTCTTTTCTCTAGGCCAGTTTTTTCATCCACCAGTACCTCCAAGTCCTGTTTTGCAGGGCTGCTCTAAATCTGTTCATCCCCCAGCCAGTATTGATACTAGGGGTTGCCCTGACCCAGCTGCAGGACCTTGTATTTTGGCCTTGTTGAACGTCACGAGATTCATATGAGCTCACTTCTCAAGCTTGTTCAGCTCCCTTTGAATGGCATCTCATCCCTCAGGCATTTCAACATCACCACTCAGCTTGGTGTTGTCTGTGAACTTGCAGATGGTGCACTTGATCTCACTGTCATAAGCCACTGATGAAGATACTAAACTATACTGATCCCAGTAAGTACTGTATGTCAGTCTTCCACAAGTCATTGTTTCATCTTTACAATGAAGTTACTTACCTAGTCACTTACCTGTGATTTACAAACAGGAGTTCAGTTAGAACTAAGATATTCGACTTCTGTATGAAGGTCCACAACCATTTCCTTAAAGTGTGATTTGGGGGTCTTTGGGGTAACACTGTGGGATGACCAAATCTAAAGTTCTTCCTAACACCACTTTGAGGTCAGTCCAAATCTATTAATCTACTTAGACACAGTAATTAGTTACTATTTAATTTGTGCTGCCTTGAAGCATTAAAGGATGGGATGCATTGAAAATGAAGTCTTCCCACATTCCAGTTAATGTGTGTGGTCTCCTTGTGGGACAAAAGATTACTTCCATGTATACACAATCAGTTTTCCACAGAAATGTCTTATTTCAGAGGGACACAGATCCAAGCTATCTGACTAGCTTTCTGCCAAGTTGTCTATATAAATTATACAGAAAGTGCCTCTCAAAGCTGAAGGCCTGCTGTATAACAACTGGGATATATAAAGGAGGAACACTTTTATTTTTTTTCTGCCTGTGTTTTTGTAAGACATTTCTTATAATGATTGCAACAGGGTTTTGAAGAAGAGTAACGCTGAATGTGCCTGGAAGCATAGATTTCACAGGCATTGGAGGAAGAGCATATTGATCTTAAGTGGTCGGTAAAAGCAACAGCTGTGTTTCCATCTGACTGTACTAAAGAATTACACACCAAACAGACACCTGACATCAAAGCATTGAACTTGGTGCACATTGTGAAGAAATGCATACTGTTAGGAACTGGTGAAGAGATTCTATCTTGTGCTAGCTGATCTGAGCCTTTGCCTGAATCTTGGCTAAAGGCCTAACCTAATTAAAAAAAAAAAAAAAAGAGTTCCAGTAACAGTTCAGATCTACCTTTTCTCATCTCTGCTGCATCATCTATTTCTTTGACACCGCAGGAAATGATGAGACATCTTGTAGATATTTTCATTTTCATACTGGAATACTGTTTTAAGTAATGGGATCACAGAGTCCATGTTCAGGGACTTTGGTTTGAGAAAGGACTCTGACATCCAGTAGGTCTCATGCTGGAATCAATGGCCCTGCAGTGTGTACACCAGAAACCCAGTCTTCCCTCATAGAGCCAGCCTGAGTTGTCTTCCACATACTGCCTGCATGCAGAAAACATGGTATTGTTTGCTGGTAAAATTAGCCTAAATGCTAATTCAGAAGAGGACACTAAGGTTTGGCAGGTGGCCTGTGGTAGTACCTACACCCGTACAGGCTTGAGACCTCTTCCACTGGTCAGATGGCCTTGTTAGACAGGTTTGTTAAAGTTTGTGTGATCATTAGCAGTGAATTGGTGTTTTATGGAAGGAGTTAGAGCACATGATTTGGACAGTGGTATTCTGTATTTGTTACCTATTGTCCATCCAAAAGACAAGCATTTCAAAGCTTTTTGTAAGAAGTGTTGAACTCTTTGAGGAGATTTATCTTGTCCATTATGCTAAAATGCTTTTTTGACGGATTCCTGAATTCGATTGTGTTTTCTCTTCATTGCATTGACAGAAACGTCCTTCCCAGCTTCCAGTGGTCCAGGATGTTGGATATAGCATTACAGAAAAGGGTGACATGAAGGTCTGTGAAAATACCTATTGCACCTGGAAGGGTATGTTCCATTATAGTAAATATGTTCGTGCGTACTGAACAGTAAGATACAGCAGGCTGTGTCTACACAGGAAAAGCAAGTGCATCCTGTTCCAACAAATGTTACAGGATAACACAAAGTGGCTGAAATCTGTGCTGTGCTGCGCTGCTCAGGGCTATTTCTAGAGTTGCCCTGCCTGTGGGAACTTCTTCCAGGATGGTTAACCGCTAACATTTTACCTGGCTCTCCTTTGGGTTCCATCTAATTTAAGCATTGCTGGCTTAAAACATTAATTTTATTCTAGCTTTTCAGTTTCAGAACCCTACAGATAATGTAGGGTTGTGCTGCAGTATGTGCACAGGGTATGTATTTCATGGACAGTTGAATACATAAAAGTGCAAGACATGCAGAGATGGTGGGATCTAGTTTCTCCTACCTGTAAGGAAAGATAGATAAACTGCACTGCCTGTGGTTTAATGTGTTGGGGAGTTGGTTAATTTGGTCCAAAAGATTTATCAGGAATGAATGAGCACAAGAGAGTGTGAATGATCAGGTGATGGAAAATAAGGTGGGGTGTGAGGACCTAACCTGTGAAATAATACGGCTATTCCCAGAGTTATTTGAATATGAAGCAGTTCATTAAATATCAAACCAGTATTTTGTTGTGCTCTGTCTTGGACATAAGATTTGATCTGGCAATCTGGCTGTTTCTGTGTATGATGGGTTCTTAGCAGTCAGGGCCTGATTTATGCTCAAGTGAAAACGGTAAAACCAACTTCTTTATTAATCTGTAGTTCAGCTCTTGTAGAAGAAGTTGCTACATGACAGATTTATATGTTCTGTTGCTCTTCTTCATGCAAATAATTTCAGAGCAGTCAATAGCAACAATATAGGGATTGGTCACAGTGGTTTTTGTTTTGTTTTCTTTGATGGCAAATATATACAGGTATCAGGAATACTGGGTTTTATCCCACCAACCTACTTGTTGAATCAGGTGGTCTGGTGTGGCAGTACTGACTACTTACCATTTCCCAGGTCTCATTTTGAGAAGTTAGAGAGGCACGTGAAAGCCAAAATCCTATCAAAAGTCAGTGATATCTGCTAGTGCCCAGACAAAGCAAAACAAAATGGTGTAATGAAACTCAGTTTGCACTAATTAAAAAGCCTGTTATGCACGTTTGTGTGTCTGAAGTAGTGAGTGAGCTGAAAGAGTAATCAGTATGAATTTGGGTAGATGAATTACTCATGAGAGAAGAGTAACTTGAAATGAGTAACAGAGGTGATTTCATCCTTTATATCTCACTTCACAGTAACAACTGCCAGTGTCACAGAAGAAACAGATTTTCAGAGTGTTTCAGAAGTGCTGCTATTGAAGCTGTTACAATGAAGTGCTTTAATTTTCCTGAATTATCTTACATGGCTGGGTTCAGAAAGTTTTGGTACAGTTTTCAAAAAGTAACCAAAAATCTAGCTATTAGAAATACAGATTTTTCTGTACAGAGAATTCTGTTCAGAATTCCTAGAGCTTTTTACATTTAGAATGCAGTGTTACATGTCCCACTGGGCACGTTGTTCCTGCAAGTCTGCTTGATTGTTTCACTGCACAAAATTTTAGATACAGAAGAAAATCCCTGTGGCCTGCTTCTTGCTTATTTTCAGTCTTTATTTGTTATTTGGAGAGAGAGGGGGTACCACAGCTGAGAAGGGAAACATTTGTTGTCTGGCAGAAATGAATTTTGGATTGGGGGGAAGACTCGTGACAGAGTAAGGAAGAACTGTGTGAAATAAGCTCTCCACAATTTGTCACTGGATTTCCATATAGGATGTTTATGTATGTGTTTAAGTTACGTTTACAGTGAGGAATTTTTTTGAACAGAGTTTAGTTGTAAAGATAAATAATGTCCTGTGACTGGAACTTTTGATACTAAATATTCTTCTCTGGAGAATAATTCAAAAAGAAAGTCAAAATACAGAAAAAAGAGCAGAAATGTGAATCTCCAGCTTTCTGCTGTGCACATTACTGCAAGGTAATTTCTTACACATAAAAATCTGACATTAGATGATTCATAGTACTAATGATCTGTCTTTTTTTGGTGTGATGTTTAGGAGTCCCTGCAGCATAATGTAGCTGAAGACTATAGAGGGTGACTCTTCTGCTTGCTTATACTTGTGTTTGCTTTTGTTTCTCGCATAAGTGTTGTCACAAGCTTTGTGTGCTGTGATCAACGTCATGTGCTTTAACAACCTTTTCCTTTGGTTATGTGTTGATGAGGAAGACCTTTTGGTGAGAAATTAACGTCAGAAAGCAAAAAAGCTAATTGCTGTATGAGGGCGTTTTGAAGTGGGAGAGCACATACAAAACATTTTGCTGCTAACAACTTTGACAGAAAACCAAGGCAAAAAAGACAAAACCCCTCACATTCTGTATTGAGCTGTGGTAGAACTTAAGTAGAATATAATGGACCCTATTTTCTGTTCTAGCTGACAAAATCCATGAAGGATTGAAAGAGGCTGTAAAACTACAATGAAAGGCTTAGGCCTGAGAAAAAAATGGTGGTGTTTTGCATTACTGATCTGTGTGTGATGAATCTTTAAATACAGGGTGCCGAGAGAGGAACCAAAATGAGTTTAGAGCTGTTACCAAGATGAAGCTTTCTGTACCAATGGAGCTAGAAGTGAGGCTTCATATTACTGGCTTGCGCAATGATTACTGTAAGTTAATTTCTTCTTTGTGGTGTTTTTTGCAGAGATTGGGAATTCTTATGTGTGTTTCAAGAAAGATGGCAAGGGTGTGTCCCCTTCACATAAAATGGAAGCTGTGGGACATATGCATGGTGTCATTTATCCTACAAGGATGCATCTTTGAAAACTGCTTGTCCCAGGATGTAGACTTACTGATCAAACCCTAGAATGAGTACTGCCTCTCATGTAGTTTCCTTTGGTTGTTGAGCTCAATACAGCTTTCTGGTCAACCCAGTATACTTCTGCTTAATGAAGTTAAACATTTCAGCTATCAGCTTTGGATGTCTAGCAGCCTGTCAACACAGCAACAGCTTTATTGACCAGACTTTGACATCTCTTGTTCTGGGAGGTATCAGTGACATTGTAGTTTGGATGATAGATACCTTCTGAACTAAATTTTCACTTATGTCTTTGGTGGTGCACAAGCAAAACATTAAACATACTCAAGTTACACTTGAACACAAATGGATCTCTAGTCTAGAGCAGCAAATACATGTTTTAACATTTAATAATATCTAATGAGCAACTCTGTGAAAGTGTTCTAATTGTCCCTTTGGAGATTTTTTCAACATATCTTTGCAAATGCTCATGTATGTCTATGAACAGGACAAAGGTTTGTTTGTATGATTTACACTGGTTGTGCACAAAGTATGCTCCAAGGCTAACTGCCGTAACAGAAATCTTTGGAAGTGATTTTTGGCTGCAACAACCAGGACTGCAGCAAACAGCTGACTGATATATTCAACTGTTCTTCAAAGTGATTTGTTTCCAATATATGATGTCAGATCTTGGCCTACGGTAAAAGTCTTCTGTGCGTCAGGTGTCATGCAGGATACATTTTGAACTGCCCTGACTGCACAGCTGAGGATTTCCCTTGACATATATAAATGTACTGGATTAATATTAAGTGTTCTAGACCAACTTCTGTCCTACGTGCCATAGCAGGATGTTGTAAGGCTAATCACCAACGACTAATGACTTGCTTTGCCAGGATCTGCAAGTGCAGTGTATCTAGCATCAGGGGCAGTGGAAACAGTATTTCTATTATACACTTGCTGAGCAAGCTCTGAAGATGAGGAGCAGATTTTGTCTAATTCCTTTCTGCATTTTTTCTTTCCTGTTGTGTGCAGGGTAAATGTTATTAACCTCAATATATAGGACAGACTGTAGCATATAGACTTTATCCTGTGTCTTTCTCACTAGCAAGAATTACTTCAGAATGAGGGTGTTTTGGGAACTGTAGCTGTTGGTGGAGGATCCTCATTTCTGGTAGAAGCAATTTGAGTGAATGATGTGGTGATCCAAAACACAAGGATGAGAGGTTAAAAAATTATATTGAGAAAGCTGTAAGTCAGGTCCTGCTATACAAACATATGAGTTGTTGAGATTAGATTTATGAAGACCTTGGCTTGTTAGACTTTCCTTCATGTAGAAGGAATACTTGTAAGTAGTGTTTTCATAGAAACATTCTCTTGTTGTTTTTCCATAGCTAATTAAAAAGAAAGAATAGGCTTCTCTTCCCCAAACCATACTTCCACTGTCTCCATCCTATTACCTACAACTTTAGGCAGTAATTCTTAGTAGCTTTCTTCTAGATCTAAACATACTGGACTGGAGCCTTGAAAATCTCATTGCTATTGCTGTAGGACCTGCTGCACACATCTGGAATGGAGGAACTCTTCAAGCCATTGGAAGCATTGATTTGAATTCCAGTTCCAAATACATTTCCTCCCTAGCTTGGATAACAGAAGGAGCTTGCCTTGCGATTGGCACCAGTGATGGAGAAGTGCAAGTACTAAATAATTTACTTTTTTAGTCTTTCTCCATTTTTAGCCAAAGTGGTCACAAGACAATTTGATACTGTGGTGTTTTGGCTTTTTTTTTAAGTGGAAACAAATAAAAAAGATGGGCTAAACTATAGAAGAACTCTGCGGGAGACAATATACAGCACTCCCTGTGCAATATATAGTACTTCACTGAAGGGCTTAGTGACATCCAGTGTTATCTATATGTATGGGAGCTTCTGAAGCCACTAAATTGTTGATGACCAAATTAATGATTCAGTTGCCTAGAGGCAATCAGATTTTTTTTTTTTTTTTTTTTTTCACTGTAAGGGGAACTCTTATTAAATTATTTTACTCAGCACAGCCTATTTTTTCTTGGGTTTCTCCTGCTAAGTTCACTGTAGTGATCAATGCCTTGAGATCTCAGTCCAAAACTTTCCTTACAGATTCATGTATGAGAATTTGCCTTTAATCTGATTATACACATATGTCTCAGCCTGCTGTTATAGTACAGTCCTATTGTTAAAAGACTTTTGGGGCACTTTGGCTGAGATGCTAGATGATATGAGGACCTACCTGCTGCAGTCCTGAGTCAGGAATCTGAAAGTACTGAAGACTGGTGCTTTCAAGTATGGACTTCCAAATACTGATATGTTAATAAACAGCTTTGAACTCAGAGACATGTATTCCCTTCAATCCTGTCTGACTCCAGCATCACTGATATAGGTGCCAAAATCTGGAAATACTTCTTACTTGTGAAATAAATGAGCTTGAGATTGTCCATATTCTGAATCAGAACTGGTCAGTGGCTTACTTGCAAAAAAACTAACAGAACAAAAATATTTTTTCTTTTTATTGTTAAATTTGACTTTCTTGTTTTGAATTGGCAGCTGTGGGACATTGAAACCAAAAAGAGGTTGAGAAATATGTTTGGTCACCTGTCCGTGGTTGGAGCTCTGAGCTGGAATCATTATATTCTGAGCAGGTGAGTGGTATAGTATATTCACAGAAACAGCACTGCTGCTTTTACTTACACAAATGTCCTGTTCATTTTGGCTGTTTTCCTTGGCTTTGCTCAAAAGTGTTTTATTCTGTCTCTTTACTTATCAGCCATCTCAGAAATCATACGTAGATTTATTGTATTTAGGAAAGCAGCCAAAGGGGATTTAGCCTGCCTCTTTAGTCTCTGTTTCTTACTTTCCTTCCAGAAAACTGTCACCACTTGTAGAATATTGCTAGGCTTTGCGTTTGTGCAAAGCCTCAGTTTGAGACGGTGTCTCCATTTGGTCTGGACTCCCAGAATTATAGCCTGCCCAGTGCCGGGCAGGGGGCATGTAGTTTAGACTGCTGTGCCACTGATACCAAGACTGCATCTGTCTTTTGAGATGCCCACTGAAACACGGCTAAGAGTGTGCAGCTAAGAGCTGCACACCTCTTTAGCTGTGTACCTACAAGGGAAGGCCATCTCACTGCTACCCAGGAGGTTTGAAGTGCTTGACTTTTGCTTTGCCAAGGGTGAATTTTATACTAGCTGGTATATATTTAGGGATCATTTCAATAAGGGGACTCTGATGAGAAAGATCAAGTGTGCTCTTGTGTGTTTTTTTGCTTCCACTTTCAGGTCTTTGACTTGAAGGAGCTGAGGTGAGACTTGTCTATGCTGGATGCCTCTATGATTTTAAAATCATAGAATAGTCTTCTGTTTTACTTAGATGAAGAAATAACAGCAAGGGCAGACTGACTTTGTAAACTCAGAGTGAAACTAGTATAGGAACACTAGTGGTAGTTTTGGTTTGATTTTACAGTATACTCTGGTTTTAATTGTATTAGGTCTGCTAGGTGGAGTGAGGTAAAGGTTACCAGCTGAACACCTGTTAATAAAATGCTGTTGCTGGAAGAGGTATGCTTGGTGGTTTAAGTTACGAGGATGCAGCTATAGCATCCTGACAGTGTCAACTGATGTAACCCTGTTACAGAAAGCATTAGTTTCAGTTTGCATTTCAGCCTGGCCAAAGAAGTGAAAACAATACAAACTTAAATTACAGATCCCTCTGAGTAGGAACTAGTAATAAAATTCAGCATGAACCTGTGAACTTGACAGATTAGTTTTGGATAATGTTTATTTCTTTTGCTAGGTTTGAAGCTAACCAGTTCATTCTAACATTAGAGCAGAGTTAAAATATCTGTATAAGTAGAAAAAAAATATGTATGGCTAATATTCATTGCTAATAAAATAAGAGCAGCATTGTTACAGTAAATGTCACTGTGGACAATTGATAATTTGAGATTACCTACTAATTCCTGTGGTTAAAATAGTCCAACAACATCATCATGAACTGTAAATAAATTTCAGTACCATAAATGAACTCACCACACTATTTTGTTGTCTTCTCTTTGCCTTTAGCAAAGCAGATGCCATCTTCTGTGTTAAAAGCAAGTAATTCCGATTTCTTTTTATGCGGAGTGGAAAAATGTCCTTTCAGCCAGGATTCTCAGGAGCCCTGTTCCTTTCTACTTAACACTACTAGAATTACCAGAAACCTTCATATGGCCAACACAGGCAATTCAGTTTTCTTTCTTTTGGTGTGGTGGGTTGAGCTCCGCTGGGTACCAAATGCCCACCATGATGCTCTGTCAGTCCCCTCCTCAGCTGGATGAGGGAGGGGAGAAAATAAACTTGTGGGTCAAGATAAAGGCAGTTTAATAAATAGCAAAGGCTGTGCATAGAAACAAAGGATAATATAAGATTTATTCTCTACTTCCCATCAGCAGGCAATATCCAACCACTTCTTGGGAAGTAGGGCTTAAGTACCATAAAGAATGTTCCAGAAGATAAATATCATAATAAAAAATGCTCCCAAATCCTCCTCCTTACTCTTATATTTTATTGCTGAGCAGATTTCATATGGTTTGGAATATCCCTTTGGTCAGTTTGGGTCAGCTGTTCTGGCTGTGTCTCCAACCAAGGTCTTGTCCAGCCCTGGTCTTGGTGACAGGAGGAATGTTGGAGAGACAGCCTTGATGCTGAGTGAGCACTGCTCAGTAGAAGCCCAAATACTGTGCATTACCTACAACTTTCTAGCTACCAGTAAAGAGCACAGCATTATTGAGGACTGCTATGACAAAGCTAGCTTCATCTCAGCCAGGCACAAGGCACTGGGTTAGATGTTCTCATTATTTAGTAGAAAAAAATCTATATAACTCTTTGAGAGGCAAATGGTGATGCTTTTGCATATAATGCATGTATTCACATGTATTTTCATAGGTATTTTCTGTGAAGATGCACCTAATACTCACTTGAGCACTGCTTGGTTGCAGTCTTTCATGGTTTTTTGAACTTCAACTGAGTTGGAAAGTCAGTAACACAAGCACGACAGAGTGGTATTTTTTGCAGTCAGTCGGTTTTGTGTGTGCATTTTTAGAGCTTCCAAATCACTCAACTGCATCTGAAAATTTTTTAAGATCCAGTACAGGATAGTCATCAGTCATTATTGCCTTAAATTAGTTTACTGTAATAGCCAGGTACCTGTTTCTTAGATACCCAGAAAGATGGTATTGAACTTGCTGATGTTTTCAGCATTGCCATGACAGTTGGAAATATGAATTTCCAGCAGGAATCTCTTCTATTTTGTCATGTTTAATGTAGGTAATATCCTTAAAAAAGCAGGAAAAGAGAATGCACTGCAATTGCAATTTTGCAATACTGCAAATTTTCAGTATTTTCAGTTCAAATCTGCTGTTGATGTAATGCCCATATCTTGGAGCTAAGCTGTAATAGTAGCTGTGCTTCCAGGCAGGGTATTTCTTCCTTTGTTTGGTAAACTGATGGCACTGGCTGTAGAACCATGCATTCACTTCCTAACAGGCAATCAGTGCAACAGTGTCAAGCTGTCCAGATTTTCTTTAAGCCTTGAAGTGGGAGGGAGAAAGGAGTAAAGGGAAGGGACAGAACCAAAGAACACACAGTTAGATGCTAGTAAGCCCTTTTCCAGGGCAGTGCAGTTTTACACTGCCTCTGTTGGGTGTGGAAGCATATCCGGCCTTGGCAAAAATCATCTTGTGAAATGATTTTTCATGAAGAACAGGAAATAGTTTACATTAAATGTCTTGACAGCTGAACAAGGTGCAGATTAGTGGCATACAATGCAATGTATCTTCATGAAAATGAAAACCACGAGAGACAAGAAGTATTCTGCCTGGCTTGAGCGGAGCAGTTCTTTGGCTCTTTTCTGTTGTCAGTCACCCCTGCGGTCAGGGTGTGCTTTTGATAGTTGGTTTGTGTTTCCTTTCACTGAATTACTGTTGTTCTGCAGACACATTTCATTCTGTTGTGATTTCCTTCTGAAACCATTGAAGAAACATCAGTGTGATGATGTAGCTTATTGTCTTTAACATTAAACCCATGCTGTCTTTTCTCATCTACAGTGGTTCACGACTAGGATCTATTCATCACCATGATGTTCGGATTGCTCAGCACCATGTTGGGACTCTTTGCCAAAATAAACAAAGTATTTGCAGCTTGAAATGGTCACTAACCAACCAGTTGCTGGCAAGTGGGTCTAGTGATGGTATATTGAATATCTGGCCTAGTGACCCTGGTGTAAAATTGCAGTCACAGCCACTTAAAACCATACCACATCCCTCAGCAGTTAAGGTATATGGAGAAGGAGTGTCTGTTTTTCTATATTTGCTCTTGTGAAATCACATTGTTGATGTGGATGGTTAGGTAATTTTTCAAATTTATTTCACTGATATTTGTTAGTTTCTTCTCCCTGTATGTGATGCAGTTAATTTTAAGACCAATTCTCCTCACTGCAAGTAACAAATAAGTTTGCTAGGGCTTTGATTAGGAAATGTTACTGGCTTACCACGCCTTTGTAAATATAATGCCAAACAAGTTTACATCCTTCTCTATCTCTCTGCCTTGCACAAAGAAGTTTTGAGACACAATACTTAAAACTTAATAAACAAGATCTTCCGATTTTTTGAGTTTTGGAAAATTCTCTCTGCTGCAATTAATTTAAATGTGAAGTTTGTTTTGTGTCCTGCCCATATTTTCATGTCACTGTTGCTAGGAAACAATCTGAAGTAGTAAAGTGGGTATGAGACAATTACAGATTCATCATCTTTATGAAGTCCCAGTCTGTGTGGGAGAGGAGACAGGTATTAGCAATAAGCAGCAGAGGACTCCAGCATTTATGAGCTCTTTACCCTCCTGAAAGAGTCTGATGCTGGCCTGAAGTGCTGGGATTGAAGAGTCAGAGGAGTTTATTGAAACAGGTGGAATTGAGTTCTTAGTTTTCTTTGGTTGAGTCTGAGCCTTAAGGTATATCCTGAAAATATCTCAGAAGAAACCAGGTCTCTTTTAAGCCCTGTAAACTGTGGTGCTTACGCTTCTGTAATGGCTTAGGCAGTAAGACTATCCTGCTGGGTTCTTCCAGTTTTGAGGTGTGAGTCTGTGGCCCGTGAACTTAAGCAGAGAAGATGGAGTTTTATGAGCATGTGTGGGACAGTGTAGACTACTGTGAAACAATGGCAAGGGAAGCAGTATTTTGAGTTTTGGGATCCTACATTGCTGTGTGTGTATAGTCTGGGTGCTTGTTGCAGTTAATTTTTCCAAATAGGCTTTTAAGCAAAAACTGTTTTCCCAGCTAACCTCCTAGTCTAGTCTGTTCTGGTATCTTTTCTTGTTTTTTTTTTTTTTTTTTTTTTAGGCTATGAACTGGTGTCCTTGGCAGTCTAAAGTCCTTGCTATAGGAGGTGGAATGAAAGATGGGATTTTGCGTGTCTGGGACATTAATTCTGAGAAAATAATCCAAAGTGCAGCTACAGATTCTCAGGTGAAATGATGGAATGTCTGCATAGTTAGGCTATGCTCTTCTTGTATAGCTGTGCTCTTCTGGCAAACTCCCACTGCCTTTGAGGGTGGTTCTGTGGTCAGAGGAACAGCAGTATTTTCTCTGGATGTTCAATTGTGCTACATTCAGCACAGCAGTGTGTGATTAAACTCAGAAGTAGTTTGTTGTTTCTTATTCACCACTTCTGTCTCCACATAGAAGTGACTCAAGAGGAGGTGGTCTTGCAGCCAGACACTTCTCATAATCTTTTCCTTATTGGAAGAAATAGTTTTGGCCAAAATTCTTGATATGGAGAGAATGTTGAGGAAGAGAGAAAGTTCCCAGAGTGCTGGGGTGAGAAGAGGTGTAAGAGTCAGAGGGCAAACATCTGTCTCTGGAGTTTGAATATTAGGAGACAGAGGAACAGATTTTCATCTGGAGTAAAGGAGCGTAACTTGATTTTCCTAGAGCTATTACAGCTTAGCTGAGGATGTGTTGGAACTGCTTTCAGATTATGCTGATAGACTATTGTCACATTTAGAGAGGACAATAAGGCAACTTTACTTCCAAGTGTTGTAAGGAATTAAATGATCCTTCTAAATAAGTAAATATTTTGCTGTGACTTATTGCACAGTAGCTTGTTTAAACATTGTAGATAACATTTCAGATCCACTGAATAGTGTATGTTGGTCTGTTGATGCTTTCTGAAAACTAAAGCACAATTTTAAATTGCAATAGATTTGTTCCTTGCTGTGGTTACCCAAAACCAGCGAACTGATGACTGGACATGGCCTTCCTGAACATCAGATGAAAATATGGAAGTATCCCATACTTACCAATTCATCAGAACTCTATGGCAAGTATTTCAGTTAGTAGTTTTAATTACTTCAGTTAACTGTCTGTGTAACCAGTGTGTTTTTGCAACGGCAAACCTCATGCATTTATGTGAAAAAAGAGTTAAAAGAGCAGTCACCTGCACATCCTTCATCTGCCTACACAATGCATTCATGTGCACAATCCTGATTCATGTGTTTGTAAAGGTTGACTTATTAGAGTAGTAGTCAGAGCTGCTTCTGTAAAATTTTTTGTTTCAGTGATGGTATTATGTCCTGTTACTTCTAAGGCTATCCCAGGTGAAAGATGTGGATTTTCACTTCTCCCTAAGGCTTACTAGGCCTGGATTGAGTGTGGCAATGTAGGTTGCTTCCAATGTATTCTAGGCTGATGGTCACTTAGGTAATATGAACTAGATTTGGCTGTTTGAATTTGCAGCTCATCATGCAAGGATACTGAAGCAGCTTCCAAATGATACTTAAAATAAATCACCATGTGTTATTTATTGCTGTCTGGGTTTTAATGAATGAGAGACTGTGAAACAATTTGGTGCAGCATGTTTCCCTTGTTCCATGTTGACAGCCAGAGGAAGGTGGAGTTTCCTTGCATCGTTGCGTAGGGATACATTACACATAAAAGTTGTTCCTTGCTATTAGACATTCTTGTTTCTGGTGCTTGCTGTCACTGCTATCCGTTAAATTTTACTTATTTCAGTCTTAACTGAAGTGATCCAATAGAAGTGTCTGAAGTTAAAGAAAAAAAAAAATCTGTTTTGCACTGGCTGCATTTTCTTACTTATGCTTGGTTTTTCATACTCACTGACAAAATGCAGTCAAAGAAGCCTTGGAATTTCAACCAGGGACTTGGGTGGAACCCGACTTGTCTTTAGTAGTAGCCTGTAAGAGGAAGGCACAGGAGGGTCAAAGCAAAGATGGATGAAAGAGAGAGGGCAGCAGAGACAAACGTGGATCTGGTTACACATTATCCTTGTGTAATGCTGTTTGTGTTGCTTTTCCTTCCTTACCCCTCCTCATTTATGTACATTTTTTAAGGCAGTGTCCTGTGTTGCTATGAGAAATTATCTGGAAGCTTGAGGTTTCACAAATCCTTGTAAGTCTTCATTATATTACAAGGAATGAAAATTAGATTTAATCCTACCTTTGAGAATAGTGCATGGAGTAAAACCTTTACTATGTAAGTCAAATAAAAGTAATTTAATGAAGCTGGAGTGCTACACATCATCCTGTTTCCTATTCAGTTTACTCATCTGCAAAAGAAACTAATTTTCATGAACAAAAGTCCAGATAATTGTTACACAGATGTTCCTACTTATGAAAGCTCCTAATACCTTTCTGTAAGCAATTGAACGTTGGAAGAAATTGTGAATGTATCAAAATATGTTCAGAAAAAATACTGTGATGGATTATTGTGAAGTGGTTCTAAATCAGCCTCAAACACCTTTAACCACATGAGTTACACACCCAAAGAAATGAATAGATAAATTGTAACTAAATGCCATTGTTAGATCTTCCTGCAAAATGTTGAAGGTTTCAGCTAACAATGACAAACTATCAGCAACTGTTCGGTACTTTAGTAATTGAGGTTGCCTATTACTGAGCAGAGCAGAATAACAATGGAAAGACAGTAACCTTTTTACAGCATTGATTCCTGTTCTCCTATTCAGTTTACTTATTGCCTTCAGCTCATTCTTAATGTGAACATATTCTATAGATAATGTTAGATATTATTAGATACTAGAACTTTCCACTTCCTATGCAGCATGTTTTGCTGCTGCAGTAAAAGTGGAACAAGCCATAGTGTGGTTGTGGATGGTGAAAATGACTGGTATAATCAGTACAGAACTGTGATTTCTTTTTTATATATTTTATTTTACAGTTCACAAAGGGAGAGTCCTCCATACAGCTCTGAGCCCAGATCAGAGCAGGCTTTTTTCTGTTGCAGCTGATGGGACGTCTTGTCTGTGGAAATGCCATGAGCCTGGGGAGAGCAAGCACAGCAGCAAGCCTTTTTCTGAGGGTTGAGCTCATTTTTGTGACTTCTTTTCCTTGAAAGCAAATGATTTAAATGTATTTAGCCCATTCAGTAATTCAAAATATGTGTGTTCCTTCCAATGGAAACATGGCAAAAGATAGTACAATTTTTTTCAAGAGAAAGCCATTTTCCTCATCAGTCCATAATGTGAAATATTAGTAGCTTGTCTTACTTACCCTAGAGGAAAAATATTCTAACTCTAAAGAATAACAGCATATTTATTTTCATTAAACTTGCAAGTTTAATGAAATCCACCCTGTGTCAAGTTCTAGCATAAAGTTGTAGGTCCTGCTTTTAGCAGTGATGCTTGTAATTTTATAACATCTTAGCATCTCCAATGGAAATCACATGCAAATGTCTATAAATTGCCTTGAATCATTCAAAGGCTAGGATCAGCAGATACCACTTCAAGCGTCTGTATTGTTCTACATATCGCATAGGTCATGGTACAGAATCTGTTTAGATATTTGTAGAGATCTGGGTTAAATATGTAACTGTAAATAGATATAAATGATTTCTTGGGAAATCTTTATTGTTTTCACAGTGGTAATAATAAGTAGCTTAATTAGCAAACTGTCTCTATTGGATTTTGATTTGTTTCCTTAAATCCACCTACTATGTTTGACAATGAAAATATAAATAATTGCTTCATAATTCTATTACTATGCATAATTATGTGATCAACTAGTTAATAAGCCGGGTGGACATAGTGAAGCAGCACACTGTTTTGATCAAACACAACAGTTAGTTAATTCATTCCTCAAGGGTACCAATTTAATTTTGTGTGACAGCAAACCTGGTAGCTGTTGCCTTCTTATGCGTTGTATTCAGTGTTCACAAGAGCCAAGCATCTTTGACTTTAACAGACATTTGCCTGTGTAAGACTTCTACACTGTCAACAGCTATGTCAGGATTGGTCTTCAGGTGCTATTCAGATGCAACTTAGTAGTGTTACTCAAGACATGTTCTATCCACAAATATCTTTGGAGCTTTGCTTTTATTATTAGGAGTGACGAGAGGCAAGTGGTAAGGATTCACTCTTGCACCTGTATATTAGAAGCCCTGTGAGCTCAGAAACTCTTATTATTTTGATTTTTTTTTTTTTTCTCTGGGAATGTATTTAGACTATTTCCTGTAGGTGGGAAGAATGGGAGATTAGGGGAGCAGTGTCAGCCCATGGAAAATTACACTGTAATCAAACACATGAAAAGAGATAGGATATGTTAGCAGGGATGCAAGTATCTCTGGAAATGAATGTGAAACTATCATGACTTTAGTTCTCATCATTTTTAAAACCTCATCTTCTGCTGTTCGTAAATCACATGGTTGCTAACTTCACATCTGGAAGTCTGAGACCATTTTTTACCTAGTAATTAAATCTGCTACTAACCTTCTGGTTTCTGTGGTCATCTGTGTGGTCTTCAAAACAGGCTAGAAAATGGAAATGTTGAATATCATTTAAGAAATGACTACCAATAAGCTGATGTCTAAGAATGGGAAATAGCTTTCACTGTGCTTGTCTTCTAATACGAGTGTGTTTGTTGCAGTAAATTGTATTAAATTTTTAGAATCTGACTTAAAATATTCAACCTGATTTAAACATTGAAATTGGTATTTTAAAAACATTAAAAACATTCTCATGAGTATAAAGGACTGAAATTAGTCTCTTTACTCTTTTGTTTTCTAATTTCCCCAGAAATCCTTTTTTTCATTTAACAGTATCTTAATGGTGCTGGTTTGCCAAATATAGGAAAAGGTGTGTAACACCGGCTGGGTGACTCTGGTAGGGAAGGAGCTAATCAATATTGAAGCCATGCAGTGTATTTGCAGCAGTCCAGGTACAGAAGAGTACTGTATATACTCAGCATGCAGTGAGGGCACAGGCAGCTGGATTAGATTCTTGGTTGGAAATACTCATCCATGTAGACCCCAGTCTGAATGTGCAACACAAAAATGTTGGAAACTTGAGTCACAAATACTGTAAATGATTCCATGGTTGACAGTATGATCTACAAGTCCTATTGTAGCAGGCACTGTGTTCTGGCCCTGCTAAGATCTCAGCTGAGATCTCACCTGTCCTGAAAACAGCCATACGTATTTTCATCTGTAAAGACATAAAGCTGCTAAAATTCACCATGGGAATACCTCTTTTACCAGTATAATGAAGTGATGAATTTTTGAAAGCCTATTTCAGAACTAGATACTGTTACACAAGTACAAACTTGGTCAAAACCTCATCTATTATGCTCCCCCTATGGTTTTCTTTATTCACTGAAAGTCTTACTTTGTGAGTCAAATGTAGGCACCAGGGTCATCAACACTACCACACTTGTTTGCCTCCCTGAAAGAAGTGACGCCTCTCATCACATTATTGCATCTTAAGGGTCCTCCAGAATCCCTGTGGAAAAGAGAAAAAATACATCATTCAAATTTACAAGGGCAGAAAAATGCTGCTTTTAAATAAAATTTGCACCAGTTGCATGTAGAAATATTGGGGATTTCTTCTTTTTTCCTCCTTTGAAATTAAGATTTTCATTAGCTCCTGTGCAAATCATGTTATCTGTTGTAATAGGGTTGTTTTTATAATGATTTTTGTTGCAGATTTGCCTGCTGATGACAGTGATATTGACCTCCTTCAGGGTATCAGAAAGCCTTTCTCAGATGATTGTGTTTTCCCCATCCAGCTACTGTGCAAGTTGTTCCTGGTTTGGGGGTCATCTGAAGTAGGCAGTGGAATGAGTTGCACAGCTTTATCAGGTTTTGCTCTTTTCTGGAGTTGTAGATGATAGAGAAAATAGTTCTTATGGGGCAGAGTCTAATAGAGGCCCCAGCATGTTAACAATTGGATCATTTTTATTATGGTAATAGGGGCTTACTACAACCCCTTTTTGAGATTCCTCAGTTCTTTGTGACAGGATTTATGTAATCAATGTAAGAACTAGGAAAATGAGTATTCTTTGTCTCATGAAAACCCATTTAGCTTCACTGAAATACAAGCTCTGAAAAATACCCTATTTTACTTCACTGGCTCTCAGATCATTGGGAAGGCAAAATCACAAATTCACTGTCACTGGCAAAATTAAAAATTAGACAAGTAGAACATTTTTAATTAGAACTGTTTTCCAGACAAAACAGTAGGGGTTTTAACCAAATTATTTCTATGTATGAAATATACTTCTTTCCGTGGATAGTCTTTATAATTTCATTGAAAAGCCAGAGACTGAACTGTCTTGGTCAAGCTTCAGAATTTTTCTACTTCTAGCATTGGCATGTAGTACAGAACTTGTTGGTTGCCTTAGTTCCCAGTGCATCTCCAATTCACCAGTTTGCTGATTTAGCAGACTGGACTATATCACCCCCCCAGAAAAGTCACCAGAAACTCCTGTGGCTCATTTCCATCGTAAGAAGGAAGAAAATGACACATCATAGGAGGTACATATTCCATAAATGATGTGTAAGTCTATACCTTCAGCAGCATAACATCATTTTCCATAAAATTAGGTAGCATGGGTAGTGAATGTGTTTTTGAATCTGAAAAAGCTATCTTCCTCTTGCTGTCTCTGAATGAGGTCCAAGAATAACTTTGCCTCCTTCCCTTCAAAGAGTAACAACATAGTTAGTGGAATTTGCTGCTGTAACTCCATAATTCCTTGTTGTTTAAATTGGTGCTACAATGTCCAACCACTACAGAATCTTTTTTCTTATGCCTGAAAAGCAACAGTAATTACAAAAATATAAAGATTTTACAAGTAAAAAATTGACTTGGTGAATCAAAATTCTTGCTATCTTATTTTCAGCTTCCCAAGAGCATAGACAGGTTTCAGCTACTTAGCTCTGAAGCTACCCCTGTTGTTTCCCTTTGGGAGCTGAATGAGGGGTAGATGCATGAGCTTTGCTGTCGGTAGTGGCCTCGCCAGCTGTGCCCTCTGCAAAGTGCTGAAAATCTAGGAGAACAGCTCACAGCACTTTGAATTCAGAGATGATGATGACTGGACTGGATTATACCGTTGCTTTGTCCTAACATCATTTCAACACTATTTTCTGAGTCCACATAGCTCATTCCCTTTCTCTAATTTGTTCTGCAACTTCATATAATTACTACATACTGAAGTGGTAAACAGAGTTGTGCCTGCTGGGGCTCCCTGGTTTAGAAAACTGGAATCTAGCACTCCTTGGTCAAGCAGTACTTTGTGGACAATGGGTACACCTGTCTATGGAAGAGCAATGTATGTTACAGCTGAATAGGAGAATATTCATTCAGCAGACGTGTCATTGGCCCTCAGTTGCATCTTACTGTGGCAAACACAACCCTGATGAAGAGGTTCCTTCCTTTCCTTCAACTATTAAGAGCTGTCTGACTGTTGCATGAGCATTGTGAGGTTAATTATTTATTGTATTTCCTCTTCAATGTGATATCATTTAGAAACACTCTTTATGTTATGTTAATATAATAGCTTTTGGGCAAAATGCTGCCTTTGTAGTAGGTACCATATATCTCCCTATTGGATGGAGATGGGAAAGACGGATAAATTTCTGTGATGTCTGTGGAGTCCAATGATTCACTGGTCCTGGGCATGCTGTTCACAATTCGTGTGTGAGGTCTGGCTCAGCAGCAGCTCTGGTCCTCCTCACAATGGCAAGGGTCGGGACATGTCACGTAAACCTCATGTCTTGCCTTGCTGAGGCGCTCTGTGAGGCCAAATAGCCGTCTGCATTTTGAGTCAGACAGGAAGAAGAAAGGTTGGCTGACTAGCCAACATATCCAGTAGAGCAGAGATCTCTCGTCATCTGTCTGGAGTATTTTTGCTCTTGTGTGACTGTATGCTGTCTCTTTCTGTGGTGGGCTGCATATCTTTTACAGAATAAAATGACAAGAATTTATTTCTGTTTTCTGAGCAGCTGTTTAGACTGGCCACTCCTCTGTTTGAATGAGAACTGAATAAATCTTATTAGAGCGTTTTAAAAGCACAGTTTCTCACTTTCGAATATATACCCAAACAATAGAAATAACTTCCATTGATATTAAGTAATTTGGAATATCAAATATTCTATAAACTAACTGGTTACATTCAGTGAAGTGTCACTACCACACAGTCCCAAAGGTTTCTTGAAGAATTGAGACTCACTACGTGCAGCCTGCACGTGATCTAAGTACTTGTCATTCTGTTTTAAGTTGATTTGTAAACTACTGATCCTGCTGCATTGCATACAGTTGCCTTCATTAGTCAGATCCTGCCAATGCTACAGACTATGCATTATTAATGACCCAATCATTATTTATGCATCTGAAACAGCAGTGTCTTAGAGCAGAACATTCCTAAGTGCTTAAAACAAATGTTACCTGTGTTCCTTGGACTAAGCCTCAAAACACTCTGAGAGATGAAGTTGAATTAGATGCAAGCATTATTCCTCCCATACTATACCTCCCATTTTAGTGACCTGAGCTCACAAAACCTGAATGTCAGTCACGACTATGACAAGCCTGACAAGTCAAATGTGAGCACAAGCTCCCCTTCCCCAGGTGGGATACCTCAAGGCTGGCACAGCTGTTGAACAGCTGGCTCAGGTAAAGGAGGACATCTGCTGTTCATGTTAGAAATTAAAATGCCATGTGTTTGCAAAAATGTTCTCTAAATTGTATTTTATTTTTCCATTTTTTTTAGCTCCCTGTATTTTGGGTAACTAAAAGCAAACCAATTAGAATAAATCTGGAAACCTGACCTCCTCACACACTGTGTAGGCAGCTGAGCCAGCCTTCTTCCATCAGTTAGTCTGAAACAGAGGACACAGCATCTTCTTTCTAAGTGAATTCGACTTTCACTCTTCTCCAGCTAAATCGAATTTGGTTGCATTTCTTGAAAGAGTAGAAACATTCGCACCTAGCGTGTGCTTGTTTTGGACATTTACAAACCAAAAGCCAAACCTTCGTCTTTGGCATTATGAGATTTTTCTTCTTCTGGGAGCTGGGGTCTCTCTTCAGTTAGTGGGTCAGAGATCTGCAGTCAGTTATGGTTATAAAAAAATCATATTTGGGGGCTATTCAGTGGAAAGGTTGCCTCTGCTCCTGTGAAGAGTGTGCTCTGCCCACTGGTTTCTTTTTCTAATTAGCACATCCTCTTTGGCTGACTTTAAGTGTTTGTCACTGGGATAGACTGGAGCAACATCTTGTCTCGTCTCCTCCTGAGCTGTATGATGATGCCCATGCAAAACCTACCCACCCCTATGCTATGCGTAGACTATTTTTAGCAAGTGCTAATGAATATTATGTGATAATCACTTCTGGAATAGTTTTTTTCTTAGGCAAAATTGCAGGAATCCAGCAACATGGATCTCTGTGTGGCTTTCAAACAGCCTGCCAGAAACCTGGATGAGGTGGCAGTGGGTATCTTTTT